GCTATTGAACTCTTCAAAACTCAATGTTGAGTTTGAGTTTATGATTATTAAATATTTGTTTTTAAATGTTACACCTTAAGGCTTACATCTTTCCTCTTCATTAACTATACAGTGGACCTACTGAACAACTACACTGTAAAAATGATTTAAAAAATTTTTTCAAACAATTTATGTGTTGAATTTAAACAAATAAAATTTAGTAATATTCAACTTAATTTGTTTGTTTAAATTCGGCCCAAATAAATTGTTAACAACCAGTTACATTAAAAAAAAAGTAAATTCAAGAAATCATCGTTGAATAATTTTTTATGTGTACTGGTGTTTGAAACAGCCAAAAAAGTACTGTAAAAATCGCCACTGCAGGACTAATTTTATGTTGTTTGTTTAAACGACAAACATTTGGCATAATCCATCCAAAACTACTATTATTTGTACAGTATACTCTTTCTCCTAAAATTTTTTTAATTCTTATTTAAACGAATGAGCAAATAATATCTAAAGCATCAATCAAAGCGTGCATTTATATGATATCTTAATGTACATTTCTTACAATGTATTTTACAGTATTTTAAAAATACGAGACACTAAAGTATTTTGATACAAAATATTAAGCCATTTTTATAAACCCATCAAATACAAATTACAAAATACAAATGACAAAATTGTATATAAAATACGTATTTGAAATACACGTTTCATAAATTCTGCTCATCTCTGGTTGGCGATTAATTCTGTCGTGGCAACCCCTAATAATCAAGAAATAGGCCGAATGAATTTGGAAGAGCTCTCAAGGCTTACCTAAGCTCAGACTTCCCTCTCTCCCAATGAAATGGGAGGGAGCCCTGGGCTCAAGGATCTTCTGGGCTCAGGGCTCTCTCCTGGAACAGCATGCCAAACACACCTTATTATCAATCATCAGAGTGTGAACTCTTGAATGCTCATTATTTAGAAGAATGACCCTGATTTTAGATCACAAAAAAATGAAAACATCTGTTACTCTATTTATTATTTTCCAAAAGATAAAATGCTCTAAAACAGTGGTTCTCAAACTGTGGTACGTGGGCTTCCTTCAAGTGGTACGCGGAGGAATCAATTCAATTTAATTCAGCTTTATTTGTATAGCGCTTTTACAATGTAGATTGTGTCAAAGCAGCTTCACATAAATGGTCATAGTAACTGGATCAGGGTAGTTCAGTTCAAAAAGTAAAAAAAAAAAAAAACCTGCTGTTCTTAAATGTAAAGTATTAACATATAGTAGCCAATTCATCATTACATGGGGATGTTGCTTGGACCTCATAAATATATGCTATATGTCATCACATTGACGTTTTTAGTTTTTTTGTTTGTTTGTTTTACCTATAAGCACAGTACAGTTATAATGTTCAGACTTTTTGGTTTGTAATGTTTACAGTGGCTGACAATAATAAATATTCTTAATAATAGAAATTAATCTGCCACGTTTTTGAACTGTGCAGAGTTGTAGCTGCTTTACCGGGCCTACTACACTACTGTATTTCAATACTGCTCATTATGGTGGTACTTGGAGAGACAATTTTTTTTCTGAGCTGGTACTTGATGAAAAAGGTTTGAGAACCGCTGCTCTAAAAGACAATATTTTTATTTGTGACATTTGAAGAAATGCTCTTTCATTTAAACGCATGACTAATAAATAATAACCCTAAATAATAAATCCAATCACACCCAATAAAGCAAGTGTGATTCATGCATGTTCTCATTTGCAGACGACACCTTAAAGGGCATCTGTTATTATGTAGCTTCTCTTGTTTCTATCATCTGCTCCTTTCATTACCACACACGTGTATTAAAGGCTCTCTGTGATGTGACATAACTCATTTCTCCATTTATATGTACGAGATTGTCCCTTTTTTCTCCAAACTCTTTGATATTCATATTGATTCATTACTGATTTGATTATGTAAATGCAGAATGGTTCCAGTGAGTTTGCTCAGAGTATCAGAGAACATCCTCACAGACGCACATTTGTACAGTTGCTCTCAGAAGGACAATTATAAGCTTGGGTAAAAAACGCACCAATTTCACAAGCAAAATGAACATGACTGTGTGCATAAGCACTTGGGAACAGATGGTTTATCGCAGGAAATGAGTTCTGTTTACGCTTTGTGAAAGCTGTTTTAATGGTGCCGTTTATGCCAGATTTAGACCATCGACACGACTGAGCTCACAGAAAATTCCAGAAACACATTAGGATGAAACTGCATCTCACTGATGACCTTTGGGAGTTTGGAGCTAAAGCGTGTTTTATCTTCATTTAAAAAATACTTATGTATAAAGGGGATCTATTGAATGCAGTTGTGTGGCAACCGGGTGTGAATAAAGTCAGCCAATACTGGATCAAAAACTATTAATTCTATTTTTCACCATCACACTTGATAAAAAGTGTGCAGAAACACTTTGATTGGCATTCTCCCTTTGTCTGGATCATCAGAGGGGATGGGGTAGTCCTTCCCATTATTGACGATATCTTCCTCATTAGCATTGACAGCCCTAAGTGAGAAGCAGTCATTAGCCAATAGATTTTTCACAATGTATTTGCTGAAGACAATATCAGAGGCTAAGAGGCATTTTAAACAGGGCTTGACATTAGCACCCACCAGCCTGCCAAATACGGGATTTCAGCTGTGGTGGGTTAGACAGACACCCCCAGGGGGGAGGCGGACGAAAGTGAAGACTGGGGGGATAGTATGGCAGACGAAAGTGAAGAGGGTTGGGGAATCATGGGGTGTGGTGAGTATGAGTAGTGGGATCAGTAAAGTGAGATGCCGGATCCGGATTGTTCCAGCACAAATTAAGCCCTGGACACAGGCAGTTCTCACTAATGTGATGCGCGATTGCTTACAAGCTCCCATTTTCTTGCACAAAACAACTGTGCCTGGAAACGCAACTAGTGCAATCGTTTGTCTTTTAAATTTATTGGAAAAAAGTAGCACTCACGGTCCTTCTGCTTTCAAGAGATCTCCAGATTTGTTGTATGTAGCAGCTGTTGCTTTTACCATTTTTTAAACAGATTGTTATTGGGCCTAATGTTAAACTTCCAATGTTAAACTTCTTTGTGTCAGTTAGCATTGTTAATGCATACAACTGCACTCAATCTGCTCCAGCCATTAAACTGTATATATATATGTGTGTGTGTGTGTGTGTGTGTGTGTGTGTGTGTGTGTGTGTGTGTGTGTGTGTGTGTGTGTGTGTGTGTACAGTTGAAATCAAAATTATTAGCCCCCCTTTGAATTTTTTTCTCTTTTTTTAATAATTCCCGAATTATGTTAAACAGAGCAAGGAAATATAAACAGTATGTCTGATAATATTTTTTCTTCTGGAGAAAGTTGTATTTGTTTTATTTCGGCTATAGAATAAAAGCAGTTTTTAATTTTAAAGTTATGAAATCTTCTCTCCGCTAAACAGAAAATGGGGAAAAAATAAATGGGGGCTAATAATTCTGACACACACACACACACACACACACACACACACACACACACACACACACACACACACACACACACACACACACACACACACACACACACACACACACACATATATATATAACTTGTTTCCTTACTGTACACATGACAATAAACAAATTTAAAACGTGTGCATGTGATCATCCGTTCACTATCACACACAGAATGTTTCTTACCTGCTTTCTTTTGCTTGCAGTTATTTTTGTCAATATGGTTTAATTTTCATCCCTTACAATAACATTGTTTTAATAGGAGATTAACTCTCCATTTGTCTATAAATACCTGATGATCTAGGACGTTTAGTCTGGAAAAACTATTGTGTGTAGTTTTAGATTAATGAGAATTTTTTTTTTAATTGTCAACTGTTTTTAAGAACTTTTTGTTGATTAACAACAACAACAACAACAACAACAACAACAAAAATTCACACATTTATTTTTTAAATTTGTGGCAAGGAAATATTTTGTTTAGTGTGGCCAGAGGGAAATAAAAGTAATTCCTTAGTGTTGAGCCGTAAAAAGTCAAAACAATACATGTATATATAATATATATAATATATATAGTACATATAATATATATAATATAAATAAATTAAAAAAGTTAAAAAAGTTAGTTTTTTCTGAAAGCTTCCTTAATGTACTGTACAAGTAGCTAAAGCTCTCTCATTCAGAGGCTGGAGCCAGCAGATATTCAACGACTTTAATCATAAGGCATAAAACAAAACATTCTACCTGGAGCTCCTACACAGGACTTGACACTTGTAAACACCCGCTCCAACGGGTTCACGCGACTCTCGGTCCCACCTATCAGCGATATCAAGCCAACCAATCACAGAGTTTGCGCTATGTAGTTCCATATTTTAAAAGGTGCACAAAGGCTGCACCGAAGCATACACGTGCACTTGAAGTATAAATCAGCTTTAACTTTAATAATTAATTAAGTTAGGACATGATTTACTTAGTTTAATAAGTTACAATTAACTAACAGCATATGTAGTCATGACTAATTGATCATTCATTCATTTCGAAGAGTTACAAGCCATTATTTGTGGGGTACTTAGAAGCTGACCTTAACATAAAGACATCAGAGACTAGTTTTACATCTCGTAAAAAAGGGGTAAACTAGTAATAATAAAAGGGTAAAATAGTAATAACTAATAGTATTCCCTAAACTTCTCCAATTGACTAGTTACATTAAGAAATGCACAGAAAAGTATCACAAGTGTTATAAAATGTTGTTTAAATATGCAAATGATGCATTGTTTAATCAATTATGTGCTTATTTGCATATCTACAGTGAAAACCTTAGCATTACATAACGTTGGGTTGAAATTGCAAAATAAACAGGTTGCATATAATCAGGCAAATAACTTATGAAAATATCCCTCAGTAAAATCCTTCAGAATATAGATAAAACTGACAGTGTAGTGTATGCACGTTATGCTGAAATGAAGATTTATGTTTCAGTGCAAGAGGAAAAACTCATTCAGAGAAAACAGCCTTTAAAATATGTATTGTAATTGAAATCTACAGACACAAATTGATAAGTTTGACAAAAGAAACACAAGTGTATTATGGTGGATTTCTTTCCATTTGACTGAAAATTTCAAAAAAAAAAAAAAAAACTTTATGAATAGCCAAAAAGCCCACAATATCCAAAATGACAAATCCCAATTGAAAAGTACTATAGTAACTCACATTAAATAATAGTGTTTATCAAGCATACTATAGTAAAGTGTATTAACCTGTATTTATTATAGTATTTACAGCTTATTGTTAATGAATGCACTAGCATACTGTAGTACTAAATATTGAAAACAGAAAAACTGTAATAAATACTGTAGCATACTTTTCTATAATTAACAGTAATTAAAACTAGTATAGCATTGGGTACTCTAGTACTCTAGTTACCATAGTACCAACTATAGAATTAACACAACAGATTAATTCAAGTAACCAAATTACCATGTGTGTGGGATGCATGAAAAACTAAAGGTTTTGTAAATAATTGATATCCTTAAATGGTCTAATTGTACTCCTTACTTAATTTGATTCTGCAATGTAGATGTTGTTAAGGTCATGATACAGTGCTCTAGTGTATGCTGCAGCTGGTGGTCTGCGGGCTGATAGCTCCCCAGTCTGTTGTGTCTGAGTTAACCTGGTTGCACTCACAGCTCAGAGCCACGGGGTACACGAAGACTGAATCAACCCCTGCAGGACAGCCTTTAAACTCGTAGCTCTTGTACATCAAGTTCTTGAAGTTACAGACCTTCTGGGTGTGCTGTGCCATGGAACTAGGGTAAACTCGATCCTGGAGAAGAATGAAAAACATTTTTGGTTTCCTGTTATCTGGTGCAAAAAGCAGAATGAATGTTTCAATAACTGTCACTGCACAAATGCTGTAAGGTTCAGCAAATATAAGACAATCAATCAATAAAAAAATAAAGAAATATTCACATATACAAGTAAATATAAATATATGTGAAGTTGCTATTTTCACTCAATACGAAAGTATTAGACCGTGTTGCATGTTCTCCGACACAAGGAGAATATGCAAACTCTACACAGAAATGCCAACTGACCTAACCGGTGCTTGAACCAGCGACCTTCTTGGTGTGAGGCGATTGTGCTACCCACTGCGCCACCATGACACCCCTTTATTATTATTTGTACACTTATTTTAAAAACAACAAAGTTTTTTAAACATGACAAAAAACACATTATAGACAACAATCAAATAACTATGGTAGAATTTAACTAAAAGTAATCAAAAACAGTAAACGCTAATTAAACTACGGTAACACTTTACAATTAGGTTGTATTAGTTAATGTTAGTTAATGATTTCACTAACACAAACAAGCAATAAACAACACATTTACTACAGTACTTGCTCATGTTAGTTAATAAAAGTTATTTCATCAAAGTCATTGTTAGTTCATGTTAATTCACAGTGCAGTAACTAATGTTCACAAGCATGAACTTGGATGTTAACAATGCATTAGTAAATGTTGAATTATGTATAACAAATACTGCACAAGTATTTTTATACATAGTTTATGTCAGAGAATGCATTAATTAATGAACTTTATTGTAAAGTGTGACTCAAAACACAATAGGTAAATAAAAAATGTTTAGAAAAACAATACATAAAAAGAAGTTTAGTCAGATTTTTATTTTATTATTTTATTTCTAGTGTTTAATTTATTGTAGTATTTGTTTGTTTACATTTTCATACAGTAAAAGAATAAAAACAGACATTTTTACAAATAAAAAAATTCTACTGTGTATTAGGGATGCTCCGATTGATCAGCCAGAGATCAATATCGGCCGATAATCACGTTTCATGACTTGATCGGTACTTTCTAATCTGGCCAATCTCATGAACTGATTACAATTGTTTGTTTACTTGTTTAAAAGCAAAGAATACATAGGAACTGAAATCTTTTTACATATCAGAATCGAATGTTCTGTGTGTTTATTAATATTGCAAGTTCATTAAATCCTGGCTGGAAAGTTTAGTGAATTAAAAAAAAATGTTTACTTCAATATTTAATAATATAACTTACTGTAATACCCATATAGTCATAAGCAGTAGTTTATGCACCCATTTCCTTTAGTAAAGAAGTAATGGATTTATAGGTGTGTATTTAAACTCCTTATGCATCAAATATGCACTACAACCTCCATTGAGACATGTTGAATTCTTCTTCCATGATTTGAAATGTTTCCAAATTGCTTTATTTATTGCCAATTTTTAAAATCTGTTTAATCTATTTTAATCTGTAAATTTGCTTCTGACCATGACATGTCCACACTAAATGTTAAGTATCTTATGTATTTTAAGCTTAAGTATCATACTCGGACAGGAAATGTGTCTTATGCATTATAAAGCTTAAAGCATCAGAATTGGTTCTTGGCATCGGCTGATCACAATGACAAGGCACTACTCAGCATCAAAAAATTCTGATCGGAGCATCCTACTGTGCATAACTGAGAACCAATAATAACTGATAATACCAAAACACCAAATCTGAATATTAAAATGATTTCCTAGGGCTCTTTGTCATACACTTTAAATAGTGAAAACTTAAACAAAGTACTTTGACTTGTTGCAATTAAATGAAATAAGTTTGACAAACTTAATTTATGACAGTTTTCAGTAATAAATTTAGTTAGGTGTAACAAGTTTTAGTAATTTATTTATGGCAAGTATAAGTATTGTTTGCTATTTATAGTGAACAATACTTGAGCTTGTCACAAAACATAAAAGTATTCTTATTATTATATTAACATGGGAATGAATGAATGAATGAATGAATGAATGAATAATTGAATGATTTGTACTGTATGTACTGTTCCATTCTTCTTTTCTTAAATAAATTACTAAAACTTATTACACATAAAAAATAACTTATTAATAATAATTTATTAATAATATAATCAAAGTAACTGGTAAAAATGTTCACAGCAAATTTGAATAAAAAACAGTTTAAACTGTAATAATATGTAATAAAATCTATTGTTGTTATTTGATCAAAAAAATACAGCTCATGTCTCTCAAAAAATGTAAAAAGTAGTGAAGGTATTTTAGTATATACTTTTTTTAAATGGTAAAACTGTCACAGATGAAAAGGACACACGTAAATGTTAAAGTAGAGGCTAGAAGAGCACCATTGTCCAGCATAGTCCTGCACAGGCTGTGGTGTCGATTGTGACGCAGCTCCCACATTCTTCGCTCTCCACAGTGATGGAGATGTTTGTGAGTCGACAGCTGCACCTGCATTCTGATTCTGCGCTCATTAACACCGGCAACAGCAGCGCCAGAACAAGCACACGCATCCTCATCTGCAGATCGGCCACAAATATTCATATAGTGCAGCCAATACAGCAATAACAACACATGTGCTGGTTACCCTGCCTGGGGTTACGAAGTGAACAAATCTGTTGCTTAATTAATAACGCTATTAAAAAGATATTCGCCATTGAATGTGTAAGCTAAACTATAGGGCATAGGAAATATTTGTAAAAGATTAAGAGAGAACTTTAAGTTTATTTTTGGTTTCTCTGGATTTGTTTTAAATGCTTTCATTTAGAGCAGAGATGCCTAAAATAGGGCCCGTGGCCAAAGTTGGCCCACGATAACCTTTGATTTGGCCTGCCGTCGGGACGAATGCCTTTGACAGAGATAGTCATTTTGAATATAACATAACCTTTTGTTTCTTTGTTTTATTGCTGAGCTAAAAACTTACTTTACTGTTATAAGTTCATTATTAAATGTTACAAATTACACTGCATTACTGAATATGGTTTATAACAATGTTTTCTAGTCATTTTTAAATATTACCAAATAAATTAGCCAGGAAATTACCCATGGCAAACTTAGTATGATATATGGCCCACAGGCCTCAATCAAGTTTGCTTTTTGGCCCTTTATAGGAAAAAGTTTGGACCTTTCTGATTTAGAGCATGTAAATGGTAAAAAAAAACAAACTCAGAAATATATAATTAATATAAAATATATCTTTACAAATAAAGGGTTTCTGCAGATAAATTTAAGACATTTTTAGACCGTTATAAAGGAAATTTTAGTATTTGCTAAGGATTTTTTTGAATATCCCAGTTAGAAAAGATTTTTACTATCTTTCCTTATCAAAAATGATTTTTCTTAGATTTAATAAAACAATAATAGTAATTTTGTTTGGATATTTTTTATTAATTTTCAAATATATTTATTCACAAACCCTCTAACCCTTACCAAGAGTAGAACAAAACATAGCTGCCAATTACTTCTTTCTACAATAATAATCATTTTAATAATAATAAAATAGGTCGGGTCAGTATCCACAGCAGTAAATAAATGGAGAACTTTTAAGCAAATGTTACTGTAAAGAAAGGAATTAAATACTATTTGTAAATAAAAAGTTAAAAGTTTTATTGAGATTGGGATTGTTGGTGATTGTTGTATGGGTGTAAATTGCCAGATTGGGTAGCTAAACATGAACAAAGGAAAATGAAGACCTGTTGTGAAAAGATTTCAGACCTACAACACAACATTTCAGTAGATTTACGACTTTTTAAGGCCTAAAATGTAGCTTTTGAGGTTTAAGACATTTCACTTTTTTAAGACCCCTGCTGTATAGATATATTCAATTATTATATTAAATTATCATAATAGATTATTATATTTGTCACATTAGAATTATAAGATTCTATCTGACATTTTTGTAAAAATTTAGTTATTGACATATTCTTATTAAAAGACAACTTATTCACATTATGTTTTTATAAGTATATGTATATGTTAACATTTTGAGACCTTTTATTTAAAAAACAAACATTACACACATACTGTTTGCTATGGAATGCAAAAAATGTGAAGCTCAATTTCTCAAAATCATTCAGAACACAGATAGAGCCTTATAATTCCAAGGTGACAATTTAAAGAATGACTGTTTTAAATAATGGTTTACACTACGCAGCATTGTTAGTTTCGAAAAAAATAAAAAAATAAATCAAACAAACATAATCCTGTTACACTTCTACATTTGATTTTGGTTTTATTGTAAAAAATATTGTAAGAAATTGTTGTATGAAATAGTTTATGGCATGCATCACAAAATAAAGATGATTTAGTTTTCAAAAAAAAATTATTTTGATTATGTTTTTAAATAATTTTTTCATAGTATATGTATGAATTCCGGTACTTTTACCATAAACTGACATGTCAAACATTTGGTAGAGGCTGATAGAAATTAGGGGATGTGTTGAAAAGAAAAAGCATTGCATGTGTTAACTAGCAACATTAAGAGTTAAGAAATGCAATCCAAAATATTTTCTTCTTGGAGAGGCAGTAAATGGATATTTTATTTGAAACTTTTTATTAGACTTTGACTTTAAGTATATATTTTGTATTAGTCAACATAATTGAGCTTTTTTGTTTTATTAGTTTAGAGTTTTATTATGTATATGACATTTCTTCTCAATTTGAAGTAAAATGTATATGTTTTGCAGTTCAATTGCAGTTCCATTCAATTACAGCTGCACAAAATAACAAAAAATGCCAAATTTTCAGACATTTCAGACAATTCAGAAGAGTTGAGTAAGTCATACTTGGGGAAATAATGCTGACTTTCAATTGCATTAAATTAAAATAATATTTTTTAACCAACTGTAATTTTCTGAGAGAGAAAAAGAATAAATATTACAATATTTTAGACATATGATCAGTTTAAAAAATGATAACTCTAGAAAACTGATAATAACTCATGGACTAATGTCCAGAGCTTTAGTTCAAACTGCTTCAACCAAAAAAATAAATAAATAAAATAAATAAAAATAAAGAGAGTTTGCTAAATATAGCTAAAATATGAGTAATCATGATGAATACATTTATCTATACAGACTGTATGTCAGACAGCACAAAGCAGCATTCAAAATTCTAGTCCAACTCCACTGTCATATAAAGTTCATGTCAGTCTTACCTGCTGGAGTTTCGCTGGAGACAAAATCTCAGCTCCCTTTACACGGACACTTATACCCTCCTGTCAGACATGACGCCTACGACTAGCTGAAAGCAGCCATGTCTTATCATACCACTGCGCTTGCTTTTGTGGAGGTGGCACAAATCCCCTAAAGCCCTGTGGCCATGGCATTCAGCCTGCAAGAGGCTGAGACAGAACAAGATCTGTGTAAAGGCCACCATCGATGTTCTTCTGCTCAAGGTCACTGTTCTGCAGGACAACCCCATTGAAAACCCCAGGAACAACAGCCTGTCTCGTCCACACATGACTGCTTCGACTGCTCCTGCTTGGACAAACAAATCTGCCAAGCTGGATATATTCAACAACATTTTGAACAGTCTAAAAATCAATCAGTCTTCACTCTCTCCTGCATCTGTTCAGATTTTCACATGGCTAGCTTTTGCAACGGTTAATCATACCAGATGTAAGAAATGTTTCTGCAAGAAAAATAACTGCTATTAGACCGTATACTAGTTTAACAGCACATATGGCAGTATTTGGTATGTCGGCGTATATTTTGGACATGAAAAATGATACTGACAGATCTAATCTAATACTGACGGAATACAGATCTTGTATTCAAACATGACTGATACATTAAAGGGATTCAATTCAAAAGTGACAATAGAGACATTTTCTATGTTTGATACACAGATTGGAGTTTAGTATTCTTTGTTTCCCGCTTTTTTTCTATAACTATCAAAGTTCAGAGTTTTGGGGTTTTTATTTCCCGCCCTTTTGTTTTTTGAATGTATAACTGTCAAAACCAGAGTTTAGGCTTCTTTATTTCTTGACTTTTTACTTTTTAAATCTCTAACTGTTATAAATACAGAGGCTGTTTCTCATTATGCGTTCTTTAGCAATCTTGCATCCTCGTGTTCTTGTGTAACGTCATCATCAACTGCCAAAGTTCAGTTTCAAAACTTGGATTCCCGGATGTGTTTTGGATACCGAAGATGCGCCAATGCAGACTTAAGCACCAAACTCACTCTAGAAGTCCCAAAAGTCATTGCGATTAAATAAAGGAGGAGGAAAGTGCAGCATTTAAAACCTGCTTATAATTAAAATTCAGAGAGAAAACGTATTTATCTCAGGAGTTTCCCTTAATGAGAGGGTGAAAGTAAACATTGCTATGAAAATCTTAATAGATGTATAAACACATTGTTTATTTGCCGAATTTTGTATTACAACACATTTATTTGCATTGTGCAAAGATTATTAGTAAGGTTTTTGTGCCTGTTATATATATTGAAAAAGGAAAAAACAATAAATCAATATATAAATGCTGTAATGTTTAAATAGCTTTCCGTTAAAAATGCGTGAAGGTCATGTGACCATCAGAAAGAACGCAGCATCTCATTTCTCACAGGACAGGTTCTGTGTTCTCACAGCTCCCGAGTTCGTTTTTCCGAGATGACCTGGCAAGACCATTCTTCAGAAGAACACGAGTACGTTTTCTGCGTTCTTGGAATTGAGAAACAGCCAGAGTTTAAGTCTCTTTATTTCCCACATTTTTATTTTTTAAATCTCTAACTGTCAAAACCAGAGTTTAGGGTTCTTTATTTCCCGTCTTTTTATTTATTTATTTATTAATCTATAGCTGTTATAACAACAGAGTTTAAGTTTCTTTATTTCCTGCCTTTTCGTTTTTCATACCTGCAACTGTCAAAGCACCTCATTACTGGTGATTTTCTTGAGTTCAACCATTAAAATACAGACCGTCAACATTCTCTCAACAAGTTCTTTATATTTAAATACTTCAAATTCCCAATTTCCTAAAGGTCATGTACTGTATCTTCTATTTTCAGTTAAATTCTAAGTTGTTCAGTCTTCTCCACTTGGTGAGTAACAGAGATATGGAAAGTATAATTCATATGTTTTTTTCTTTTTTACTTGTGACCATGGATTCAATCCATTGTCATTTATAAATGTGTTCAGCTAATATGTTTGGGATTAACAACACATTCTATTTTTTGTTACAAGTTTACATAAATAAAATAAAATCACCCAATTGGCAAATGCTATTTTTAAACCCTATCAGAGTCTACAAGATATAAGAGCAGCCAGTTAAACAAGGATAGAACATATATTAACATGTAAAAAGAATATTAATAACAAATAAAGTTTGTACAGTTAAATTACATACTATTTACCATTATTAGTGTTGTTGATTATATAAATGCAACCAGAATTGCAATGCAAAATGTCATTGTGACATATAATGTTTCTGGGCCTAAGTGTTTACTTGTTTTATTTGAAGACATGATCTCAACAACTGTTTAGGTGCAATACATTCATATCACACATTTAAACATCACAATGTGCACTGCACAGCTCAAGGCGTCCTGGAAACCAATAATTTAAAGAATCATAAAAGATTAAACACTGTCTGGCCGTCTGAGATTTTGCTAAGGAGATATAAGTTAGGATTGTGATTTTGACTATTATTACAGCACACTGTGAGAGTATATTAGCACTGCTTTTAGAATCTGAACTTATAGTGCTTGAAGACAATAGACAATGAAGCATAATGTATGTCAAGACTTTGCATGTGTACACTACCTGACAAAAGTCTTGTGTCAATCCCAGTTGTAAGAGATTAATCAATTCAAATAATAATTTGACTTCTAGTTGATCATTTGGAAAAGTGGCAGAAGGTAGATATTTCTGATGAACCATTTGTTAAACTGCATCTTTATCATCACAAATACTGAATACCTATTAAAACCCGCATGGACCCAAGACCCAAGAAGTTTGGTGAAATGAAAAAGGAAATGGTTACATTCAGAATGACGGCATGGTAGAGATCTGCAGAGTGGATGGCTACATAAAAGTTCCTGAAAGCAAAGAAGGTTAAGATGCTCCAGGATTGGCCAGCCCAGTGACCAAACATGAACATTATTGAGCATGTCTGGGGTAAGATGACGGAGGAGGCATTGAAGATGAATCCAAAGAATCTTGATGAACTCTGGGAGTCCTGCAAGAACGCTTTCTTTGCCATTCCAGATGACTTTATTAATAAGTTATCTGAGTCATTGCAGAGATGTATGGATGCAGTCCTCCAAGCTCACGGGAGTCATACACAATAGTAATTATTTTTCTACTGCACTATGACTTTATATTCTATACTGGACATTATTTCTGTTAAGTGATAAGACTTTTGTTTAAGCAAAGTCAGATCATACTGTCCTAATTAAATAATTAAAAAATCAATCAAGGCATGATCATATTTTATTTCGGTAAATTGAGTGTATTCTATAGGCATTTGCCTTTCATATAAGCCACTTCCGATACCAAATGATCTTCTGATGCTCAAATGAACTAGACGTCAAGTTATTATTTGTTTCTAAAACTTAGATAGGCAACAAGACTTTTGTCAGGTACTGTATTTTAACTGCTCAACTAGCTGTAAGTATTAGCAGACTGTCTGCATAATATCTGCTTATACTTTATTTAGCTGGTTCCTTTATGGACATTGACCATAAGTAACTTTGCAAGAACTTGCCAACTTACTTGACATTCTTATAATATATGTGATACTTCAGTAATTCTCTAATGATAGTTAGCTGAAGTAGTTGTCACATATCATCAACAAAATGTCTAAAATCCCCTAAAGGAAAATAGTTCACCCAAAAATGAAAATTACTTCAAAATGTACAGTCCCGTGTGGTTTGATACCTTTATGATCCTCATTCTTCTCTTGAACACAAAAGAAGATATTTTAAATAATGCTGGTATTCACTGACTTCCATAGTAGGGAAAAAATACTATGGAAGTCAATGAGTGCCAGCTACCAGCATTCAACAGAAGAAACAGAAACTCAAATATGTTTTGAACAAGGCTGAGTATAAATGATGGCAGCTTTTGGGTGATATATACCTTTAAAAAAACTCCCTGAGCCCATTTGACAGTTTTTTAAGTCTTCGGTGACAGAACTATTCTACTATTCATTCCTCACAGCAGCAAGCCTATAGCCATTATTGCCTCAATCCCTACCTGTTTAAAAGTTTATAAAGAGTTCTAGATTTTCATTTGGATTTTGTTCATTATCTTTTATAGATCTTTGTCTGTCTCCTCTCTTTCCAGCTGCAGCGCAACCTTGACAAAAGAAAGCTCTTATTTCAGACATGTTCGCCCCCAGTCTCTTTCCACTGCTTTTGAAGGTTGTACAGTCATTGACTCCTGATTTGTACAAATCTTGGAAATTGTCCAAAATGACCCACTGACCTTCATTTATCATGCTGCGACAAGAGCCCATCCGAATAAGGTTTTTTTAATGACGAATAAATCTGCCTTTACACTCTTACCGCTGCATCCAAAAAAGAGACTGCCTGATTCTGTTTGCCCAGTAATTCTCACATTTCCTCCAGTCTTGATGCACTTGGTGCCACCGTCATTCAAGGCCTCATTTCTGGCCTACAGTGCAGTCGGCACCATTATCCTAATAACTATAAGCCATTATCCAATCCCACACCCACAACCTTCGCACTACAATCACAATCTTTACTCTCTACACATAAAGAGCAGCCATCCTGTGTGCTTGCCCACCAATAATGCAGTGCTATCTTGTGAAATACTGCCCCCTTTTATTCTCTTTAGTGCCAACTGCATACAGAAAAGACAAGCATAGACAAAAACAAAAGCTAAGGCCAAAACAAGCTGCATTTCCTTATGGAGGTGGGCTATTTGAATAATTAAACAGTGGGATGTCAGTGCACGGTTGCCAGGGTAGTAAAGGTTGGTCAATGCAAACTGTTTAAACAAGAGCAAACACAATGTCTCCTGCATTACTAATGAGCTGAATTAAACAGCACAATCATTCTGACAGCACATACACACACATTCGCTGGAGAGTCAGCTAGACCCTTGGCTTTGTTGAGCAATTCTGTGCAAGGTAAAAGATGTGTTTTTCAGGTGATAACTATAAAGCATTCAGTGCTGCTGATGAAACTGGATTTCTAAAGCCTTCTGTTAAAAAATCGAGTGCCGGGAAAAACAGGCAGGTGGCGTAGTGGGAGTAATCATTTGCATTTTGCTTTCATACCAACAGAATATGAGCTCAAAGCATTAAGCACTTTTGAAAGCCAATTTTGAGTTTAAAATGCAGTTTAAATCATCTTAATGGCCATGTTTTTTTTGGTTTGTTTTTTACAGCTCCACCAGTCTTCATGACTGAGTGCAAAACCAGCTGCTTTCAAACAGTTTAATGTTCACACATCCCACAGCGATTATATTTTGATCAACGTGTTGAAATATTTTGATGGAAATTCACTTTCCAGTAAGTTAGCAGCATATTTCATCATCTCAGTCAAGAGATGCTAGATGTATAACCCATAATAAATAAATAGATAGTTTTAGTTTAGTATAAAAGATGCAGATTTAATGTAGGTTTTAGCCTATTTTACCAAAATTGTGATTAATCTAATGTTATCTCTCATGATTAGAAAGAACAGTCATCATTTCAAACTATGATAAATGCACAAAAAAATATAATAATAATAAACAAAATGTAAACATATTGAGTCGGTATTTTAACTTGACTGAACATCAAAATCCCACCAACTCCATTTTGCCCATTCGGAGTCCCTGGACTCTCTTGAAATCCCTATTATGACTGTGCTAAGAGAGGTGAATATTTATGCTCTTTGTGTAAACGCTTGCTTGTTTAATAGATCGTTGAGTAAAGTGCAGAGCTCTCACGACACAATCACGTTTGTCATTTTAATGTCGTGTTTACATTTTTCCAAAGAATGGCTATACACAAACTGGCCGTGATAGAAAGTGTCTGTGTCTTTTTGACAGAGCCACACACAGGCTGCATAGTGTGTGCAGCTCGCGCTATGCAGCAGTCCCTCGGGTAGGCTGTTGCGATGAACTGGATGTCAACAGATGCATAAGGGGCTGTCGAAGTTTGAGATCTGCAGCACACCGGTAAGCCTGCTGTCGCCACTGGGGGGCGATCTAGGACTTTCCGCGCTGCGCAAACGTGCCTCTCGCGGCGGAGCGCAGCTCCCCAATAACACGAGCACAATGGTCAACGGGCGAGACTGAGCGGCAGACAGATGCGCGCTGCGCATACCCACCTAAGGCTATTTCACATGGCATCCGAAAACTTTGATACATCTCGATTCTGACGCCGCTCGTGTGATATATCGAGCCACGCAGCATGCTCTCGGCAGCAGCACCTGATCTTTGGTGAGTGTGAGTCCAGGCTTAATGCAGCGGTGCATGTTTTTTGGGGAGGGGGAGATGGGCAGGTGATGAGAGATCCTGTTGAATAAAGAGCCAACGGCGAGCCGCGGCCAAAACTGTCATCCCTCGAATGCGATCTCACCTGACTGTTGAGGTGTCATGTTCTGCGTTTGGCTACGTCGATGGATATCTGGATTCCCAGTGCAAGAGGGAAATTTGGACAAACCTGGGATTTACATCCTCAGCCGTCTCTATCTTGTTGCATTGAGGGTGGAAGCGGAGAAGACCTCCTCGTATCATTCCCTACGTAAGTGGCTCGAATGATGGAAGGTGGAGTGCATGAGAAGGATGTTAAATTGCGTGCGATGACTGATTATTATTAATTGTCAGGGGCTTTTGGATCAGTAATATCACGCGCTGTTTCCTGTTTTCCTGCCTGGCTGGCCTGTATCAATAAGGATGCGCCCCGTTATTGTCATTGTTAATATTTGTATTCTTATGCAGGCAGCACAAAGATATTGAGTTAGGTCCCTGGTTACTTTTTTCAAAATGTTCTGCTCGTGTTTGTGTCCATCACAGTGTGCCTGAGCTAAATTATGCTGAGCACTTTGCATTCTACAACACGTTTTTCTTGTCTTTACAGCTGTTGCTGGTGTCAAGCGGATCCAGTGATTCATTCATAGCCGCTGAAGGGGCAGAGGACGGAACAAACCTACAGCCCACCCCTCCCTCGCAGCCAAGATGGGAACCAGTGATTTCATAGACGAATAAAGTCGGTGAGCGAACACCTCGGATAACGGAAAGGAGCCGCGCTCTCCTCATGCATCCAGCTTTCTGTTGGATAAGGCAGCCGCGCGCGCCACGCGCATGGATTGTAGAACTGTTGGACACATTTTACTCATGATTACGATGATGATGATGATGTCACCAGAAGCACGTAGCTTCGTTACAGTTGTAAAGTCCGATTACAACAAGTAAAAGTGCACTGAAAGAGCTGAAAGCACTTTCGAAGGCAGCGGACCTACACTGCCAGTCAAGCGCATTTATGAACTTGCCGAGCCCGTCTATCGCTCAGCCTCGTTCTCCATCACTCTGAACGCCTCGTAGTTTAAGAAGATGGAGTTTGCTATGGTGGGCGCGGACAGTGGGGGCTGCAACACCCACCTGCCCTATGGATATGCCCAGGCTCGCGCCCGGGAGAGAGAGCGCGAGAGGGAGAGGCATTCTCGCGCAGCGGCCGCGGCAGCAGCTGAAGCTGGAGCGGTCGGAGAGGGAGGTGGGTCCACTGGCCATCCCCACAACCACCCGCATCAGAGTCGCGCCGCCTCTTCGACAAATGCCAACAACAGTAGCGCCGGGACCGCCTCGCGCCCCTCCTCCTCCTCCTCCTCACAACAGCCGCAACAGCAGCAGCAGCAGCAACACCACGAGCCACCACAGCAACTTCTCAGAGAGCGAAAAAAGCAAAGAGGCGTCGCGCGCTGGAGACGGAACCGCGCGGCTCTCGGCGGGGATCTACGCCAATCAGAGTTGGCGCTCCTAGGATCCGAGGAGGACATTATGATCGAGGAGGAGGAGGAGGCGGAGGGCGAGGAGGAAGAGGAGGACAGGAAAAGCAAGAGGTCCAGTTTTGTCTATAACATGGATGATGAGGAGGAGACGGTGTCGTTAACGGACAGACGTCCTCAGTCAGGGTATGAAAACGTTTACAATGAGTACGGCTGCTGCGAGAGAGTTGTCATCAACGTGTCGGGCTTAAAGTTTGAAACTCAGCTGAAGACTCTCGCGCAGTTCCCGGACACTCTCCTGGGAGACCCCGAGAAAAGAAGCAGGTACTTCGACCCTTTGCGTAACGAATACTTCTTTGACAGAAACCGACCGAGCTTCGACGCCATTCTGTACTTCTATCAGTCAGGGGGGCGCTTAAAGAGACCCGTCAATGTGCCGTTTGACATCTTTTCCGAGGAGGTCAAGTTCTATGAACTCGGGGATGAGGCAATGCTCAAGTTCCGCGAGGATGAGGGCTTTGTGAAGGAGGAGGAGAAGCCGCTGCCCGAGGACGAGTTCAAGCGTCAGATCTGGCTGCTCTTCGAGTACCCGGAGAGTTCAAGTCCAGCCAGAGGGATCGCGGTCGTGTCAGTGCTGGTCATCGTCATATCCATAGTCATTTTTTGTTTAGAAACATTGCCAGAATTCAGGGACGACAAAGAATTCCTCATCCCAGGTAAAAACTCCACGCAGGCAGACAATGGATTTACGCCATTCAACGACCCCTTTTTCATCGTGGAGACAGTGTGCATCATCTGGTTCTCGTTTGAGATCATCGTGCGCTTCTTCGCCAGCCCCAGTAAAGCTGATTTCTTTAAAAACGTTATGAACACCATAGACATCGTCTCTATTTTGCCTTATTTCATAACCCTGGGCACAGATCTCGCACAGCAGCAAGGCAACGGGCAACAGGCTATGAGTTTCGCCATCCTGAGAATAATACGACTCGTCCGGGTGTTCAGGATCTTCAAACTGTCTCGGCACTCCAAAGGTCTCCAGATCCTCGGGCACACTTTACGCGCGAGCATGCGAGAGCTGGCGCTGCTCATCTTCTTCCTCGTCATCGGCGTCATCCTGTTCTCCAGCGCGGTGTACTTCGCAGAGGCGGACGAGCCCACGTCACAGTTCACCAGCATCCCAGATGCGTTTTGGTGGGCTGTGGTGACCATGACCACGGTGGGCTACGGTGACATGAAGCCCATCACGGTCGGGGGCAAAATCGTGGGCTCGCTGTGCGCCATCGCCGGCGTCCTGACCATTGCGCTTCCAGTCCCCGTCATCGTGTCTAACTTCAACTACTTCTACCACCGGGAGACTGATAACGAGGACCAGGCGCCCGCCGTGGAACAACCCCCACCGGGTTGCCCCTACTTTCCGGATTTCCTGAGAAAATTCAAGGGGTCCCCATCGGGCTCATCTTTAGGTGACAAGGCTGCGGAGTACATGGAGATGGAGGAGGGCGTGACGGAATCTCTGTGCGGGGGTGACACGCAGAGCCCGAGCAGAGGGAACGGTACTGACTTAGGCGGGAAAAACAGTTCACATTCACGAACCCTACAGACAGATGTATGATTATGGAAGAACGATGACCTTTCATCATGATGACTGCACAAATGAATCAGTTAACAGCACACACATGCACAACTTGAAGACACACACAGTACGCGCGTGCGCAGACACACTGTCTCACACACATTAAGTTCTGGACCTGAGCTGAAACTTTTTTGCAATGTGGCTGGCTACTTTTGTAGAGAAACATACCCTGTAATCACATGACAGGCAACGCAAAAATCACCAGCTTTACGTGACGTGGAGAGGTGTCTCTATCTGCCCGCCTGTTCAGTTCAGTTGACAGAACCGAACGACTCCCGGTTCATTAAATGAAGGAACTTGCATAGGCACTTTATGAGTTACATTTGTCAGTAATTGTAGGAAAAAGAGGCGAGTTCTTATCTAATGCTATTATGCAATAACGTTTAAATCGTTTGCACTATCATCAATTATGTTCTAGTCTCCCACTTTAATGCAGAGGAAAGAAACACTGAGCTAGAGAGAGAAACGACCCCATAGCAATCATGTTTTAAATTGCATTTATAATTAATTCCAAACAATAGCAAACATACGCTGTCCACGACCAATTCAGCTAACAGGAAGGAATTTGTTTCACTATTAGAATTAATTGGAGAGCAGCATGTTGCATAACTTAAGGCTATGTTATCTTAAAAATCCCATTGTGGCAAACATGTGTCCGCATGGCAGTATTCAGTATGTACTACACTCTGGTAAAAAACCCTTTTAGCACACCCTGTGTAGTTATTTGTGCATCGTCCAAAGTGACTAAAGAGTCATTATAGTCGGTCCCTTTTGTGAGTATTGAAAACAAACCAATCATGTTCGTTTTTGTTCATTAGCACAAGATCCACACCACACTACAGTTCATCCATCACGCGATCTAGGCGTCATTCTTTCGCAGCATTATCACATACAGAGTCCAAAATAACCGGTTTGCATTGTCTCACAAAGTAAAACACCTTGTACAACAGAGTCCACACCGACACCGTGGCTTGAAGGATCAGTTTGGCCACTGTTTTCAAGTTACTGTCTTGGGAGTTAATTTCAAGGGGAATGCTTCATGCAACTATCTTGTCTTCATCCCTTTACCAAATGACAATGCATCCCTTTATTAAAATGCTGGCGGAAATCTACAGCACTGATGGGAACATGAACTTGGTGGACTTCATGCACAGCGAATCCTCGTCTCAAAGGAGTGCACGATGACCACTGAGCATGCGCGGTGCATCGCAAACCCAGGTAAGTGTTTTCTGCTGCATCAAGACTCAGTTCAGTCACTCAGTCACGCTGTCATTACTCATGCTCAGATTTACACGCCGTCCAGATGTTTACGCATGTGCGCAGGTGTTTATGCATCTGCGTGGACCCGCTAGTTGCCTGTCAGGCCCAGAAACAGGTGCTCCACGTGATCTCAGCAGGCATGTGATTTCAGATCTCATGTTTTCTTGTTTCATAATAATACATCAACAATGCCTTGAATTGCTTAGCAACAAGGGGCTTATTGTCAGAGAGACGACTGACTGTGCTGTGTTCCCTTGGAATCCAAAAATCCTCATTTGCTCATGAAGTGTGCTGAGCTTCATTTTTCTGATGTCATAATAACTATTACTGATTTTTCTAGACAAGATAATGACCGTTTAATCTGCAGTAAACTGAGATTTTGTCATGACATGCTACACTGAAAAATACGATTTTTGCTAAATTGTTGCAATCAATTTACACTGCTTTTGCTGCTTGTTCAAACTACGTATTCAAAATGAGTTGAAACAACACAATTCTTAAGTTTGTTTTGGGACAACTTAATTGTTTTATGTTCAGTCCACTTAAATTTGTGAAAACCACTATTTCAACTTAATTGATTTGTGTTGGAACAACATGAAGGAATTGTGTGGAACCCAGCATTTCTTTACAGTGCATACACTGTAAAAAGTAACTGTACCAAAAGCCAGTAAACCAATTCCTTTAAAAGCAACAAGTTGCCTTCACAAAGATAATATGAGTAAAAACATTTCAACTTGGAACTGTTACATTGACTTAACTTGTATAATTATGCTAGTTGTAATCACTTTTTAAAATCAACTAATGCCTTTTACAGTGTCAGACTATTTTAGCATGTCTGTTTTCAAATAATTATTGTTATTTTTTACAATATTACATATTTGGTGCTTCATTAAGTTTATCAAATCTACAAGTACACTGTAAAACCCCAAAAGTTAAGGTAACTCAAACTGTTTAAGGAAATTGATTGCATCAAACCATTTACGTTCAGAAACTAATCTTAATGAGGACAATGAACTTAATCCATTTGAGTAAACAAAGCAATTTGATCACAGTAAAACCCAACAAATGAAGAGAACTCAAACCAACCGAGTACTGTAAAACCCAATAAGTCAAGGCAACTCAAACTGTTTGAGGAAACTGATTGCTGCAAACCATTTGAGTTTAAAACAAATCTAGATGAGTACTGTAAACTTACTTCATTTAGGTTGAATTAATGAGGTATTTAATTAACTCATTACCTTCAACACTGAGTTCAAAACTCTTTTCAAATGAGTTAACTCTCAGCCAATTTTGGGTTAACTACACTCATTTCATTTGATAAAGCTGATTGTTGGGTACAGTGTATCGCCTGTCTTGAATTTAGAAGACACGCTGGAGTCTGGAAGAGCAGATTTATTTTAGTTACTGTATGTCATTTTGGTAGATACAGAAAAGCTGAAAACAAATATATTAAAGGTGTATTGAAAAAAAGTGACTAGTTATTTTTATTTTTAAAAAGTGAGCAATTTGCATAATTAAGTCAACATAACAGTTCCAAGTTACAGTGGGTTTACTGACATTATTTTTGTAAAGTCAACTTATTGCTTTTAAGGCAATTGGTTAACTTGCTTTAAGTAACTAATCACTTTTTACCGCTTATGGGCTGAGTGTAAACAAACAAATACAATTTTGTAATTCATTTGTTTATATTCAGCTCATATAAATTGTTTGCAACCACATGTAAACATTAGCAAGTCCAATGAATCATTTTTTTGCATCCCAACACGATTAGTTGTGGGGCTGGGCTGATAAACGACATTATATCAAATTTATGTCAATAATAATGACAAGATCTGGACTTTTTTACTCTATATTGATCTAAGAGCCAGTCACACAGCAGAAATGAACACCTAAAATGTGATATTAGAGATGTAGCAAATTTTCACAAATTTAGCGGTCAAAAATGTGTTGTGCCTTTTAATGGACCCTGTAATTTTTGTGGCTTCAGTCATTGTTGGGATACTCTTATAAATCTGGAAGCAATACCAACTTATATTGAAATGCATATCATTATAGTTCAATATGGAAAATAATTATTAAGACATATTGCCCAGCCCAAATTACTTGATATTGTCTAGCAGTTTGCACTTGTTTCAGAAAAAACTGTTGTATACATTGACAATAGAGCAACAGGCAACTGGTGTTCATCAGCTGTTATTGCCGTCACCTCTATAAACTATGCACACTATGTACAGTGTCCCTTTTCGAAAGTGATCCTCTTACAGCTTGTAGTAGATGCACCGCTGATAACAGGTTACATAATACTAAATTACAGCCAGTGTGCTCTGTCTTTAAGTCAAAGGATATATTTTAGGCATAGTATCGATGTGTCCATAGTTTCATGCATGAAGTTGACAGAAAAAGTTTTAACTCTAAACTAAGGATGTGAATCACAGCTCCTTGAAGGCCACAGTCTTTAGCTGAGACACACATACCTGTGGTTTTCAAATCAGCCTGAAGGAATTGATTAGCTGGATCGCATGCATTTATTCCATGTTGGAACTAACTTCTGAAAAACACAGGGCCACATTGACATAGTTGTATTTAGACTACATCTAAAGTAATCCATATACATTTTGTAGTTTAAAAATGCTGTCACACTAGTGTTTTCAAGATTTTCGAAGTTGCTGACTCGCATTGTAATGTCTGAAAGTGCTTGCATGAGTAAAACTGTTGTCTTGTTCAGTCACCAAACAACACTGAGTAAACTGTTTCTGTTGAAGAATGAAATAATTACAAACTAATCTTCAACAAAACTATCAAACAGGAGAGCCTCAAAAACAATTGATATACAGTGCTCAGCATAATTGAGTAGACCCTATTTTGAAAATGAATATTTTTATCCATTTCTTTGTAAATATAAGCAATGTATTTTAGTGCATTTAAACAAAACAGATTTATTAAACAGATATATTAAATAAAATAATATTTTAGACATCAAACATATTTTGAAATTGAAAGATAATACAATTAAATTCAAGCTAAATATTGAAAAAAATTACAACCTAAAACATTTTAACAACATTTTTAACATGTCTTTTGCATTTCTTGATTTTTCCTCTTTTTTAAAGTTGTATTTAATAATTTTCTATACCATATAATTGTGGGCGTACTAGTTTTCGTTATCATAAGTTATTTTGTAAGATAAGCTCCAGAGTTGGCTTCAGTACTGACTAATCTAATGTATATGCACAAATATAATATTGTAGAGCTTCCTATTAAAAATATGAATTTAAAAGAGAGATTTGTGAGCGGTGTACTCATATATGTTGAGCACTGTACAAAATTTTTTTGACAATCTTGTTTTGGACTGAACGAGTCAAATGACCAAAAATCTTTTTTTAAAAAGGTCCCACTATACAACAGAAAGGCTTATATTCAAAATTACCCACATTTGAGAGCATTTTCATTAACAAAAACAACATCTCAGTGTTTAAAGACGTCCAAAACTAGGGAAACAATGTGTTTTAAAATAGTGTAAGCAAGGCCATGCTTTCTTAATTGTTCCTAGTCTTGTTATGAACAATTTAATTGTGCTCATTATTAGGTGCTCAAAGTCTTTATACTTCTTAATCAAAACTTTTTCTCAGCACTTGCTATGAAGTTATTATTTTGAAATGCTATGATATTATATTACTATTTATTATTGGTCACACTTTATATCAAGTGGCCTTTATTACTAAGTACTTGCAAAAGGAATAAACACAATGTACTTACTGTGTTCATAATGCATTAGTGAACACTTCTGGTGCTCTTAAGGTGGGATATGGGTTGGCCCACACGGAATCTGTGTCCGCAGATTTCACAGATTTCTAGCCCATCCCTGAGTCTATGTATTTACTTGTGTAAATGCGTGTAAATTTATATTTATTCAGTTTTTAAATTAATTTCACTAAAATTATTGTGATTTAATAATAGTAATATTAAAATGTTCATATGATTTATATACAATACAGTTTGTAAATTATTATTTTATCTAGTTCTAATTAGCTAAATCTAATTGAATTTGCATTGTAAACATTAAAATAAAAGTTAAAAATGTATTATTTGTTGATTTCATATATTAAGGTTTTAGTTATGATAATCGTAAAATGATTCCCCATAAATCTGCAGATTTTTAAACAAAATTCTCAGCAGAACAGCAAAAAAATGTCTGCAGATTCTGGAGTTATAGATGTGGGTAAGGTTAGGGACAGGTTTGGTGGTATAGGTAGGTTTAATGGTGCGTTAAGGTAAAAGGAATGGTCAACAGTGTAATTACAGAAATATATTACAGATGTAAGTACATTTAGGTATTTAATCATTCATAAGTAGAATGCAAAAACAGGTATTTACACAATAAGTATATATTGTAATAAATTATTCACTTTAGTCCAAATACATATTAGTCAAGGCCACCTAATATAAAGTGGGACCTTATTATCTCTTACACTGAAAAGCTCATATATAAAAACAACCTCGCATTAAAGCTAGCCAGATAAAAAGTCCACAGTCATCATATCAAAGATCTAAAATAGGTTGTGATCATTGCGCTTACTGTTCTATATTATAACACACATTACATCTATCTATCTATCTATCTATCTATCTATCTATCTATCTATCTATCTATCTATCTATCTATCTATCTATCTATCTATCTATCTATCTATCTATCTGTCTATCTGTCTCTCTGTCTGTCCGTCTGTCCGTCCGTCCAACCGTCTAATCTTAAATAAAAACCCATCCTAAACAGTACTTAAGTAACACATATACTGTAGTTACTTTATTTAAAGTGATTTAAGATTGTTATAAATTCATTTTAGAAGTAACTACTCAAAACTGATCTTCAGTATTCTAATTATTCTTTACAGTAGATTGTAAATGTACCACTAGCTCACTGCAGTCAATCACTTTCTCACATGAAAAAGTAAGAATAT